CTTTGGAGACAAGGGTCTTACTGTCACCCAGGCTGGAGGTCAGTGGCATGCTCATGGCTCCCTGCAGCCTTGACCTCCCAGTTCAAGTGATCCTCCTGCCTCAGCCTCCTGTGTAGCTGAGACCACAGGCGTGCAACACCGTACCCAGCTAGTTTTTAACTTTTGTTTTTGTAGAGATGGGGTCTCTGTGCTGCCCAGGCTGGTCTCAAACTCTCGGGCTCAAGTGATCTTCCTGCCTTGGCCTCCCAAAGTGCTGTGATTACAGTCTTCAGCCACAGCACCTGGCCCTGTGTGGGGAACTTTTTAATAAATATGCTGTAATACAGTCATTCTCTGAGTGCACCACTGTTGTGAACTGAACGCGAGCCCGAGAATCTCATCCAGCAAGAGGGTCCCAAACCTGGAAGAGAGCGTGTGCCGGAAAAAAAGGAGATAGTAAAGAGCGAGGTCTGGAGGGCTGCATGCGCTATGCCCATGCAGCGATTTTATTTTTGCAATATGTTTCATTATATACTTTTCTGAAGTCAAAGTTGTTTACCTAGATCAATATACTTAAATTACAGTAAGCAAGTTACGCCCACTAAGTTACGCCCAGTAGGTCAAGGTAAGTAAGTTACAGTCACGCCCTGTAAGCTATGGTAAGTTACAGTTGCACCAAGTAAGTTACGGTAAGTAAGTTACCAAGTATAAATACTTAAGTTAATATTTTACAATGAAGGTAACAAGGGTCCAAAATGAACACAATCAAGCAATAAACCATAAGAAGCTGAAAGTGGACACATGGCCTCCCAAGTCCTCATATCCATAAAGTAATGTCTGTTAATTATTTAGAATGACATAGCCCCTCTCTCGGTTCCTGCTTTCCCTCAGCTCGACTCCCCCAACCGGGGATCTGTGTCTGGGCTCAAGCTCACCGTATGGCGAGGCCTATTTCCTAGGGGTCTCACACGGGAGCGATCCCCACAGGTCTCCCTTACACCACCTGGGAACTTAGAAAGGTAAATTCTCAGAATCCCCCTCCCCCAACTTACTGAGTCAGAAACTCTGAGTTAACAAACCCTCCAGGGTATTCTAGTGTATTCTAAAGTTTTATAGCCACTGCTTTAATAGAAACGAAAAGTTTGAGTTCACAGAATGTCTGGAATAGGGCCTTTACTACTAGGCAGATAAAGAGTAATAACACTTATTTAAAAAAAAACACAGAATATTGGAAAGAATACATTAGACACATTTGCTTCAGTACCAGATTAAGTTTTCATAATTTATGAATATGTAATCTTTTCTATTTAACTCAATGAAATAATAATTATTATTTTTAATTAAATTTTGTTTTGGAGAGACAGAATCTCACTGTGTTGCCCAGACTGGTCTCAGACTCCTGGGCTCAAGCGATGCTCCTGCCTTGGCCTCCAAAAGTGCTGGCATTACAGGCGAGAGCCACTTTGTTTGACCAAACATTACTATATATTTTTTAAAGAACCAGCAGCATGGTTAAGCAGACATCCCTTTCTGATCAAATGTGTAATACACAAAAAGCTTTCATAAACAGTCATATAATAATTAGCTTATAGAGCTCTATGCAAATTATTCTTCAAAGTATGTCATTGACATTTTTTAGGGGGATAACTGATAAAAACAAAATGAATTTAGACTTAAGTACATGGATTCTATACTTAGTCACAACTAAGTTGTGAGAGTAAACGCTTTTCTTAAAGGCAACTAGAATCCTGCTGACAATTCGCAGGATTGTGTACAGATGTGTACAGATGTGCTCCTAGGCTCATTTTCTAACTAGAGGTTAAGGTTTCCAGTCCTAGTGCTATTTGGACAGGGATCACAGGTGAGGTCTGGCCATCTAAGGTGAGGCAGAATGTTCTTTGAAGCTGCAGCCCTGGCTTGTACCCAAGGTGAGACAATGCGTTCATGCAGGGTAAGGTTTCATTGCATGGAAATCACTCCCCCTTCTGTTACAGTAGGTAGCTAGTCAGGCATGAGCGGGGTAGGAAAGAGCCCCCACCGCCAGGAATGACAGGCGACCACGAGGTGATCATCAAAAGGTTGTTAACTGTCTCTCTAAAATAATAATTGGTAGCAGCCAGGGCCAGGGAAAGAGAGTCTCCCAACAGACAGAAAACGCCTGAAGCTGGTGATCAGCAGCTTCCCAATACGATCTCAGGAGTTAGGCTAGTGGACTCAAGCTTGTGCACTAGGAGGCAAAATGGCGGAGTTAAACTGCTATATAATCTTCCTCTAGGAACACTCAACTGGTAAGGGGGGGAAAAAACAAAAACCAAAAAACCAAAAACCCCGCCTCGAGTGAGCATGCGCACTACCTCAGTAAACACGCCGCGCATGCGCTCCTCCCAAGTGCGGGCAGGCAGCGGTGCTCGTGGACAGCCCAGCTCCAGGAAGAATCGAGGAAGAAGAAATGCAGGCCCCCAGAAGCCTGGTGACGTGTGAGACCCCAAGGCAAAGGTCACACGGGGCACTTGGGTCTCTCAATGACCGCCTGACCCTCTTCCGAGTGCACTTTACTTTCTTTTGTTCCTGCTCTAAAACTTTTTCATAAACTTTCACTCCTGCTCTGAAACTATCCTTGGTCTCACTCTGCCTCAAGCCCTCAAATTCTTTCCTCCGAGGAGGCAAGAATCGACTGGCCGCAGCCCCATACGGATCCACCTCTGCTAACACTCCCGTGTTCACCACCATTTTATATTCAGTGTAGTGAACGCCAAGCTATACATGAATGTTTGTTTCTGTTTATTTGTTCTGGTTTCTCACTCTAAGAAATAAGTCCTTCTCGGCCGGGGGGGGGGGGGGGGGGCGGAGGGTCTGCACCTCATTGCCTAGAACAAAGAATGCTGGTTTTTCTTGAATGAAGGAAGTTAATGGAAACAACCATATTTTATGTTATTTATTTAATTTTAATTTTTTGAGACGGAGCCTCCCTCTGTCACCCAGGCTGGAGTGCAGTGGCGGGAGGTTGGCTCACTGCAACCTCTGCCTCAGGGTTCAAGTGATTCTCCTATCCCAGCCTCCCGAGTAGCTGGAATTATAGGTATACACCACCATGCCCAGTTAATTTTTTTGTATTTTTAGTAGACGTGGGGTTTCGCTATGTTGGCTGGAAACAACAATATATTAAAAGATGTAGAAGATTCAAGTGGTACCAACAATGCTTACTTTTTCCAGAAAAATATATGTGAGATTTGAGCTTTGGGAAGTGGCTCTGGTGTGTTGTAGGGGTGGGCAATTTTATTGTGAGTCAGTTTTCTTTTTTTTTTTTTTTTTGAGACTAAGTCTTGCTCTGTCACCCAGGCTGGAGTGCAGTGGTGTGATCTCAGGTCAATGCAACCTCTGCCTCCTGGGTTCAAGTGATTCTTCTGCCTCAGCCTCCCGAGTAGCTGGAATTACAAGCGTGTCCATCATGCCCAGCTAATTTTTGTATTTTTAGTAGAGATGGGGTTTCACCCTGTTGGCCAGGCAGGCCTTGCACTCCTGACCTCAAGTGATGCGTCCACCTCGACTTCCCAAAGGGCTGGGATTACAAGTGTGAGCCACTGTGGCTGTCCAGTTTCTTATTTTTATCGGTGCGTGTTACCATTTATCTATTCAATTCCTCACCTGTGTGCGAGGCTGCCCTTTTCTGAAGGGTGCTAGTGGTGAATCCATTGAAAACTCCAATGACTGTGTTCCCCCATGGCCTCTTCAAGAGAGAAAGATTCATTCAGGTGGGTGTGGTGGCTCACGCCAGTAATCCCAGCACTTTGGGAAGCTGAGGTGGGCAGGAGTTTGAGATCAGCCTGGCCAAGATGGTAAAACCCTGTCGCTACTAAAAATATAAAAGTCAGCTGGGCATGGTGGCTCATGCCTGTGGTCCCAGCTACTCGGAAGGCTGAGGCAGGAGCATCGCTTGAACTCAGGAGGTTGCAGTGAGCCAACATCATGACACTGCACTCCAGCGTGGATGACAGAGTGAGACTCTGTTCCCTCCTCCCTGCCCCCCCCCCCCGCCACACACACAAAAGATTCTATAGTGAGCGCAAGATGAAATTCACCTTGAATGTTCTTACCAATTGATTGTGGATGAACTAATTCAGGGCACTGCAGGCCCCCACCGCGGGAAACTCAAGGATCCCAGGTGGCGTTGCAGGATGCTCAGGCTGTTGGGAGGCCACTGCCTTGTCGGGGTGGCCAGTGCTTTCCCCATTGCCAAATGGGACAGTTAACTCTGGTCCTTGTCTGACTGGAGACCTGCAGATGACTACCTCCTCTATAACACTCTTTAGCCCCCACCCAGGGATCCAGGACGCCCTACACTAGGTCGTTTCCTCTGTCACATTCATCACCCAGCCTCCTTCACTTGTTCCTTCTCTTCTCCCACCTCTGAGTGCTGCAGAGCCCGGGTTTCCATTCTCAGATCTCTGCGCTGCCTGCTCTCAGTCCCAAAGCAGCATTGCCAACATCAGCAAATAAAAATCCAGGCCCCTATTCATAGTTACATCGAATTTCAGATAAATGACAAAGAGTTTGTTGTTGTTGTAGTTTGAGGCGGAGTTTCTCTCTTATTGTCCAGGCTGGAGTGCAATGGCACAATCTCAGTTCACCAAGACCTCCCACTCCTGGTTTCAAGCGATTCTCCTGCCTCAGCCTCCCAAGTAGCTGGGGTTACAGGCATGCACCACCATGCTCAGGTAATTTTTGTATTTTTAGTACAGACTGGGCTTCTCCATGTTGGTCAGGCTGGTCTTGAACTCCTGACCTCAGGTGATCCACCCACCTTGGCCTCCCAAAGTGCTGGGATTACAGCTACTGTCGCCAGCCACGACAAAGAGTTTGTAAATATGTTCCAAATATTGCATGGCCCAAATATTTACTTAGTTAACAAGTAAAAACTGCACAAGACATACTCATGCTAAAGAGTATTCACTATTTGTCTGAGTCCAAATGTCACTGGGCATGGTAGGTTTCATCAGCCAAGCCTACAATCATCTCACAGTTTCATGGAGATACCATCTATGCTGACCCCTCCAAAATGTTTATCTCTAGTCTAGATCTCTCTCCAGAACTGCAGACTCCTGCTGCCTCCGGCCCATCGCCACTTGGATAATTGACAGGTGTCTCCACTTGAACATGTCAAAAACAACACTAATCTTTCCCCTAGTTCCTCGCCCTACTCTCAGGTGGCCTCATACCCCCATCTGCTCACCCAGAAGCCTTGCACTCAGACTTGACTCTGTTCTCACGTGCCACACCCAATCCGCCAGGAGGTCCTTGGTCCTCCCGGAATACACCAACAGTGCCTCTTGCTGGTCACTGCGATCACCTCCCACTCCTGCCCCTGCATTGTTCCGTGCCCCACATGGTTTTATCTCAACATGCCAGCCAGAGTGTATCATCTATCATGCCATGTCACCTTTCAGCCCATCGCGCTGCAGCAGGTCCCCACATTACTCAGCGTAAAAGCCCAAGGTCCTTGCCCCATCCTGCAAAATCCCAGTGACCCCATGATCTCTGGAGCCGTAACTCCTCCGCTCTTCCTCCAGACCACTCCCTCCTGCAGACTCCTGGGCGTGCTCCTGCTGCGAAGCCTTAGTCCTGGCTCCTTCCTTCCTCCTGGAATGCTGTTGGCTCAGGTATGCATCACAGGAACAGCTCCTGCCTGCCCCCAAACCGCTGATCCCATCTCACTTCAGTGAGGCCGTGCTGACCTCATCACTGACCTATTCATGTTCCAACCCGCTGACCTCCCGGGACTCTGGTACTCCTCTCCAACTCTTCTTTTTCATTCTCCCATAAATACCAATGTCTAACTTCTTAGGCAATTTCTTTATTATAATTGTCCTTTGTTTTCAACTTCTTCTCACTAGAAAAGAAAGCTCTACAATGCTCAGAATCTTTGTTGCGTTCTCTGAAAAATGCCAGGCTCTGGAAGAGGGCCTGCCTCCCAGCAGGCACAGGTGTGTGGAATGAATGAATGAATGAATGAATGAATGAATGAGTGAGGCTAGTGCAGACTAAGCTGCTTGCAGGAAACACCTGCTCCTTCCTGGGCACTGGGTGAAATCATTCATAGAACTTAAATCCACCTTCGACTCTTCTTCCCACTTGCCTCTTCCATCCATTGCAGTTAAATGCAGGTAGAAGAGGGGTTGCCCTGTACCTCCAGTTAGGTGGACCCCTCAGAAAAGAGTGACATCTCACCACTGAGCCACCTCAGCCTTTTCCAGTGACAGGCCCTCTCTAGGCCAATCATTAGTGTCGCAGCTATTTGTTCTGGGGCTTTTTGGCTCCATATTCACATGTAAGGGACCAAGGAACCCACAGGGAGCCACAGGCATCAACAGAATACACGGAATCAATCTTGCTGCGATCGGGACTGCAAGCATGGTTGCTTGGCTAACCACAGGTATTTTCTTTTTTCTTCTTTTTTTTTTGACAGGGTTTTGCTCTGTTGCCCAGACTGGAGTGCAGTGCCATGATCTCAGCTTACTGCAGCCTCCACCTCCCAAGTTCCAGTGATTCTCCTGCCTCAGCCTCTCGAGTAGCTGGAACTATAGGTGTGCCCCATAGTTTTTTTGTAAAATCACTGTGCCCCACTGATTTTTTGTAATTTTAGTAGAGATGGGGGTTTGCCGTGTTGGCCAGGCTGGTCTCAGACTCCTGACTTCAAGTGATCCACCCACCTCAGACATCCAAAGAGCTGGGATTACAGGCATGATCCACTGTGCTGACCACCACAGGTATTTTCTTAAGTAAAGTTGTCAGTTTTAGTTCTGGGAGATCCTGGTAATGTCATGTTTTGGGGGATGAAATAAGAGAGGAAATGATGTAGGTTGCTTGCTAAAATGACCTGTGCATCTGGACAGAAGAAAATGCAAGGGAGACAAGCCCCTGTGAGAAGGTGGAGCATGGAAAGGTACATGGTGCCTGAGGCAACAGGCTTTGGGGTCTAACTGCCCTAGAGTTAGGTCCAGCTCTGCTTCCCCTTGTGAGAAGTTTTCAGCCTCTCTGAGCCTCAGGTTCCTCTTCTTCAAAACAGGGATGCTATGTCAAAGCATCGCTTTGTGAAACACAAAAACAATTGAAATATGTATGTAATGTACTTAGCATATGTATTATTTGTTCTGCCCTGAACAGGGTGAGTATATAATAAACTGCAGCGATTCTCATTCTTTGGGATTTAATTCTTTCGGATTTAAGCCGGCTGCTGGGTTTTGTGCTGTTACTTGATTGAGATGTAATTGACAAATAGCTATTTGATATATGAATGCATTGTGAAATGATTACCACAACCAAGTTAATTAATATGTCCATCATCTCACATAATTCCTTTATTTTTGTGGTGAGAATGCTGAAGATTACTCTCAGTAAAGTTCAAGTATAGCACACTCTAACTAAGTTTAGACTCATAGACAGATATCTTCCCATTTCCCAGATGCTGGGTTCTTAGAAAACAATATAACAATTTTCACAAGAAAAAAAAGGAAATTCAGTCCAGGTGTGGTGGCTCGTGCCTATAATTCCAGCACTTTGGGAGGCCAAGGTGGGGGGATCGATTGAGCCCAGGAGTTTGAGACCAGCCTGGGAAAAATAGCAAGATCTCGTCTCTACAAAAAAAAAAAAAAAAACCTACAAAAATTAGTCAGATGTGGTTAGCTGGGTGTGGTGACATGCACCTGTAGTCCCAGCTACTCGGAAGGCTATAGTGGGAGCTTGAACTCAGGATTTTGAAGCTGTGGTGAGCCTTCATCTCAAAACAAAAATAAAGAAACTCATTTTCCTTAAGGGTTTGGTTTTGCCTTAATGAATGTTACTGGGCTGACGCCCTTTTTGGCCTCAGCCCACCTGTACCCGGGTGAAATTACAAAAAAAAAAAAAAAGAAGAGAAATGAATGTTACTCAATGTTGTGAATGTTTAAAATCAAGTAGGAGTTTCTGTATGAAACCTCTGCTCAGGGAAGATACTTTACTGTTCCCACAAAGGTCTGTAGGAACATGATATCATCTCAAGGCAACACTCCAGCCGATGTTCTTTCTAGCCAAGTTATGTTCATATAGGACGTGAACTCTTGGCAATATTTATCAAGCCAGTCTTCAGAGGGTTAGTATCAGGTACTAGAGGTACGATAAAATATATTTTTTGCTGTTAAAAAGAATACTAAACTATACGGTATATTCTTATAACAAGGAAAGGTGTCAAAACAGACCCACGTGAAAGAAACGAAGCACCAGAATAATGGCGAAGATTGTCTCAACAAATGCGGACTGCTATAGCTCATGCCAATCATAGCAGATAGGCCAGGCTTACCTAAGACACTGTTCCTGAAGCCTTTTTCAGAATCCAAAGCCAGAATCGGTGTCATTCCTAGGTACCCCGAATAAAGAGAAGTTGTCAGTCTCCACTGCACCCAGTGGCTTGCCTTTTGGCTCTCTTAATGGTATCTTTTGATGAACAGAGCTCCATTTTAAGGTAGTCCCAGTTCTCCATTTTTTCATTATGATTAGTACTTTTTGAATCATGTTTAAGAGGATTGAAGATCATCTCCTATTTTGTCTTCAAGAATCCTCATTATTTTATCTTTCATATTTAAATCTGCAACGCACCTGTAAATGACTTTCATGCATGGCATGAGGAAGGAGTCAAGTTTTATTTATTATTTATTTTTGAGACGGAGTCTCGCTCTGTCTCCCAGGCTGGAGTATAGTGGCGTGATCTCGGCTTAGTGCAACCTCTACCTCCCAGGTTCAAGCAATTCTCCTGCCTCATCCTCATGAGTAGCTGGGATTACAAGTGCTTGCCAGCGGGACTGGCTAATTTTTGTGTTTTTAGTAGAGACAGGGTTTCACCATCTTGGTCAGGCTGGTCAGGCTGGTCTTGAACACCTGACCTCGTGATCCACCCGCCTTGGCCTCCCAAAGTGCTGTGATTATAGCCGTGAGCCACTGCACCCGGCCGTCCAGTTTTATTTTTTCTGTGTGGCGATCCAATTGACTCAATACAATTTTTTTAACTGATTCTTCTTTCTCAACTGCTTATAGTGCCACCTGCATCATAAATCATGAGCCCATAAGTACCTGGGTCTATTTTTGGACTTCCCGTTTTGTTTCACTGCTGTATTTTCTATTATTGCACTGCCTTAATCAGCGCAGCTTTAGAATACACACCCAGAGCTCTCAGGGGCTGAAAGCGTGGGCATTCCTCCTGTTCTTGGCTTGGTTCTTTGCATTTCCATGGAAGGGATGGAAGCAGCTTGCATATCTGGTGGTTCTTAATGCTCTGCTTCAAAGCTATAGACCAGCTGAGGGAAAATTACATCTGTCCATAAATATCTGAATTTGTGTCCATAGTGTAGAGCTCTATTTATTAAGTCCTCTTTAATTTATTTTAGTGGACTTTTCTAGCTTACTGAGTAAAGTGGGTTTTTTTTTCTTTTTTAATACGGAGTCTTACTTTGTCAGCCAAGCTGGAGTGCAGTGGCATGATTTTGGTTCACTGCAACCTTCGTTTCCCAGGATCAAGTGATTCTCCTGCCTCAGCCTCCTGAGTAGATGAGATTACAGGTGCCTGCCAGCACGCCTGGCTAATTTTTGTATTATTAGTAGAGATGGGATTTCACCATGTTAGCACGGCTGGTCTCGAACTCCTAACCTCAGTTGATCCGCCCACCTTGGCCTCTCAAAGTGCTGGGATTACAGGCATGAGCCACCGTGCCCAGCCTGTATAAAGATCTTACGCATCTTTCACTGGATTCATCCTTGGGAATAATATTTGTGCTTTGCGTTGCTATTATAAATATTTTAATTTTTTTATTTCCTAATCATTTACTTTTGGTGCATGTTTTGAGTATCCAAAGCTGTGTAGCAAACCACCCCAAACTTAGTAGTGTGAAACCACTGCCATTTCATGTTGGCTTCTGAGGATCAGCCGTTTAGACACAGCACATAGGAGAGGATTCCTCTCTGCTCCAAGATGTCTGAGGTCTCAGCTGACAAGATGCCAACAGCTGGGGCTGATGTGAATGGCTAAGACTAGAACTATCTGGAGGTTTTTTTTTTTTGAGCTTGAGTCTCACTCTGTCACCCAGGCTGGAGTGCAGTGGTGCGATCTTGGCTCACTGCAACTTCTGTCTTTCTGGTTCAAGTGAATCTCCTGCCTTAGCCTCCTGAGTAGCTGGGACTACAGGCACACAGCAACATGCCCGACTAATTTCTGTATTTTCATTTGAGACGGGGTTTCGCCATGTTGGTCAGACTGATCTCAAACTCCTGACCTTGTAATCCACCTGCCTTGGCCTCCCAAAGTGCTAAGATTACAGGTGTGAGCCACTGTGCCTGGCCAGCCTATCTGGAGGGTTTTTTGGCACATTCTGGGCACCTGGGCAGGACTGACAGGCTGGGCTCCTCTGGGACTGTTCATGAAGCTTCTGCATGTGACCTCTCATGTGCTTGGGTTCTGACAGGGAGCGCTACTGAGCCTTGAGAGTTACGCAGTATCATTTCTACCACATTCTACTGGTTACAGCCCAGTCACAAAACCATCCAGTTTCAGGAGAGGGGAAGAGTACCCATTTCTTGAAAGGGACTATAAGTCACACTGCGGAAGAGCATGCAGGTGGCAGCTGTTGCTACGGGTGTCTTTGGGGAATGCAGGCTGTCACCTGATATGTGAATGCCATCGATTTTAGCATGTTGACCTTGCTAAACTCATTAACTTTGATAAATTGTCATAGTTCTTTTTGGAATTTTATTTTATTTATAATGGCAATTTTATTCTTTTCTAATTCTTACACTTTTGGCCTCTTTTCGGTAACGCTTTTGTCATTGTGCCATAAGTGACTCTTGGACTGTTGAATTTTCTCACTCTCCCATCTCAGGATACAATTGTTTCGAAAAATATTTTATAAAAAGGTGCAGATCGCGCCAAGATTATAATGAAAGGGTGGAAGGAAGGCAGAGTGGTGGTTAGTGATGGGGAGAAAAAGAAAAGGACACATTTTCTTTCTGAATTTAATTTTCAAAGCTCTCAACTCATTTTTTCCCTCTAGGCCCAACTATAGAATTGGTTTGGGAAAGTTTATTTCACAATTTAGCCAAATCTCACTTGTTAAGAAATCCACTGCAGTGTTTCCCTTAGAAACAACTCAGATCTTTCTTTTCATTTCAGTAAAGAGTTGGTTTTCAAGAGCCCTTAGGAAATGCCCTCACTACCTCCTCGTGGGCCAGCTCAGTGCGGAGCCATCAGAAGAACCACCTTCTAGTTCGTGAGCACTTAGAGTCTGCAGACCCAGAAGAAATGTAAAAAGGCGACTGAAGACCAGCTCATAAGAAATATGTGACGAAGCCACAGGACAAATATTTTAGCAAAGTCATGCTCAGGGGTGTGGGCATGTAAAGACGAGCTCCCATAACGTGTAGCCCCATCAAAGGCAAAACCTGACTCCCTGAGAAGGCAAATATCAAACTCTCTGATTGCCAAGTATGGAGAGGACACAACATCATGAAGCTAAGTCCCAAGAACCCTCATGGCCCCACCTGCCAGTGCTCAAGAGGCAGGTGCCCAGGTGTGGAGATGCCCAGAGTGCAGACAGTATAAGGCAGCAAATGCACGAGAAAGCCGAGGAATCCATGCCCCCCAGTTCAATAGAACCATCCTTCATAGTAGGATTTGGGGAAATCTGAAGCCAAGCGCAACAACTAGAGAAAACATTCCCAAGGCCCCCTTCTCCAGCGGAGGCCAGGAAAATCCTATTTGGTGGGATCATTATTAAGACAAGAGAAACAGCAAAATCAAGCTTAGGGTCCAGGTGTTGCCAGTCTTCCTTCCTTCCTTCCTTCCTTCCTTCCTTCCTTCCTTCCTTCTTCCTTCCTCTCTTCCTCTTTCCTTACCTCCTTCCCTGCCTCCCTCCCTCCCTCTCTCCCTCTCTCCCTCCCTCCCTCTCTCTCTCTCTCTCCCCCCCTCTCCCTCACTCCTTCCTTCCTTCCTTCCTTTTCTTTTTCTTTTTCTTTTTATTGAGACAGAGTCTCACTCTCACCCAGGCTGGAGTGCAGTGGTGTGGTCTGGGCTCACTACAACCTCTGCCTCCCAGGTTTGGGCAGGTCTCTGCCTTGGCCTCCTGAGTAGCTGGGATTACAGGTGCCTACCACCATGCTAATCTTTTTGTATTTTCAGTAGAGACAGGGTTTCACCATCTTGGCCAGGCTGCTGTTGAACTCATGACCTCCTGATCCACCCACCTCAGTCTCCCAAAGTGCTGGGATTACAGGCACCCAGCGATGTTGCCAATTTCTGTACCCACGTGGAGGGTGTCCCTGTCACACAGCCCAGGGGAGGATTGGGCAACTCCCAGCATACCTCAGGTAAGGAATCAATGAAGTGTCAAGAATGTCCTGATTGTTTTGCAAAGAGATCAGCTCCTCAACTTTGCTCTCTTTCTTGAAGCATTTTCTTTCTCTTTGGTTGTCTCCATAGTCCCTTGCTTGCCATTCTTCTCTGGCAAAGGTCCCTGCTTAGCCAACTGCTCTGGGTCTGTCCCACTTCCCTGGGCCACCAAGATGCTTCTGGAGAAGATGTGTGGCTGGCACTACCAAGTCCTGCAGCTTAAGTTGGAGGAAGACACAAGTGCCCCAGATGGGCTTGTGAGTGGAGCGGGGCGGGGACTTTGGTCTGCAGGATCTTCCTTTGTCCTACATTCCTGAGCCCTGCAGGTGGGCAGAGATTCTCAGAGGCTTGGGAAAAGGCTGCCCTCAAACACAACTGGATTCATCTCCAGGATGTCAACCCAGATCTGTTTTCTCTAAAAACCCATAATCTTTGTATGTCATCACACTGAAAACAAAGGAAGATTTATTGATTGAATGAATGGCATGATGGAGTGGAAATTTCATTAATCATTTTAATTCATCGTGCTTCATACATCCTGTCTCATTTGAACATCACAACTAGATCCATGAATTTTGTGTATCGGATGGGGAGTCTCCAACAGCTTAAGAATGAGAACTCTTATTGCAGCTGACAAAGCCAGCTTAATGGGAGAATTTATTATAAGAATACAGGGGACTCTCAGGGTACCCACATTCAGAGAGGAGAGCAGCATGTTCTCATTTTTCTTTTGCAAAGCTCACTCTTGCAAAGGCTGTGGGTGAGAAGTAGACTGGAGGGGGTGAGAGCAGAGACATAGGCCAGTGGGGATCCTTTTCTTTTCTGCTGCCTCTCTTGCAAATCAATCCTGAAGCTAAGTTTCATTGAACTAGACATGGCTTTGGCTTGAAACCAAGATAAAATGAGCACTCATGGAGAAAAGATCTCCTATACTTTCTGTCAACTTTTGTCTGATAGTTGCCGAATTTCAATGCTATTTTTTTTTTGCGGGGGGAAGCAAAACGGACTCTCTCTCTATAAACTCAAAACATGTGGAGTATAGGTGGAATTTTAATGACACCTCATAGAATGAT